TAGTGTAAAGGGGAATGCACCCCCGAAAGTGAAGTTGAGAAACCCTCAAACTGCTGACTTGAAGGCACCAGTGACCAGGGTGTCGTTGCGTTTGGCCATTTTCCATGCACATGGGAGCCAGGGAGCCTTGAGTTTTCGAGTGACCCCCCAAGCGCCCCAATAATGCCCCAACGTTGGTTTGGCGTCGTTACCTCCCATTTTTTTTGTCGCATCGGGGCCCAAACCGAGCGAACTCGATTCGATTCGAAGGTGGGCTTCGGCGTCCTTGAAGCAGGACGTGTCACTGGCACTCCAGGACGGGGACCTCCGTACCATCCCATCGGTTGCATCCTGAAAAGGTTATGCGGACCACAGGGGTTTGCAGGCATAGTTGTAGGGCCGTTTGGTTGAAGTAGGACGGGATTCAGCAGGTTTCAGCTTGCACGTCGCCCGCGCAGTCCATTGAAGTTTTGAACGGGGCACGGATGGGACGCTGTGTCGGATGAAGGTTCCGAGTGCTCAGTGGGTAACTAAGGTAATTACAAAAAAAGGAAAGGCCCTTGGTCGCGCATGGTAAGTAGAAGGGTCTTGTGACATAGAGACAATTGTATACCTTGGCCCTGGGCAGTGGTTTGCCCCGGGGGGGGGGGGGTAGGGGAAGCCCTAGACTGGGCTTTGCTCCTTGAGTTTGTATTTGTGTTTTTCTTTTTTCCTGTTTTTGAGCCAGAATGTGGGCAAAGAGTCTTTGCAAATCCTGACCATATGTATCACATAGTTGTTTATTTGGGGTTATTAGGAATGAAGAAGTGCTTTGGAGCTCAACGCTGGAACCCAATGACTGGCAGTTTGGTGAGTGCTTGGAAAAGACTGAGCAGGATGGGAAGTTTTAAAGAGGATGGTTCCCAATGCGATTTTCCAAGGAACCGTTCTCCTTCCCCCACAAAAAAAGAGAGAAAACAATCCACAATTCGTCGGTGGCAAGACCCTTTCCACCCTTTCGGTGAAGCGGGTGCCACTCCAAATCTCGGCACGGAAGGTAGAACAACTTGTAGCCTTTTCTCCAAATATCCATTGCCTGCTCACAACTGATCAAGGCTATTCGACTTGTCGACCCTTGTCCGACTGACTTTCGAAATGTTGAACTGAAAGTTGAGCATTTTGAGACCTGCCGGATTTCTTTCTAGGTGAAAAGAAGCAAGACAGAGGTGGTTTTCAGGGGCCCAAAGGTGTCATTGGCCGTCTTCTTGGGGTGTTCATGGGGTTTTGGGTGAGATGGGATGTCAAGATCCGAGCTTTTAAGCAGAAGCCCAAAGCTCCTTTTGGCTTCCCGACACAAACTGTGCCCATCACTCGGGACCGGGTTCCGTCGAGTGCAGCCCATCAGGGTGTGATGAGACCTCGGGAGTAGTTTTTTTCCTCGGGAGGCTGTTTGGGGACGTGCGAGCCTGGCAGAAGAAGACCAGGGTCCCTCGATGGGTCCATTTGAAACTTGACACAAATACCTAGAGTCTCCATGACCCCTAAAAAAATGGGCTCATTACTACATTACCCAAAATTATGGGGTCCGGATGTATCCTAGCCTCCTCTGTAGGCCGTCCAGCAGAATGGCACCGCCCTGCAGCTAGTGTCCGAGGTGGGGGGAACCACCTCCCTGAAGTGGTTGGACGCCCGAATTGTCCGCCGAGTTCTGATGTCCACCGAATTCCGGGTCCCTACTTCATGTTCAAATCAAAGCGGTTTGTTATTACTGGCGGCTTGAACAGCGACTCCACAAAACTGAATTCCAACCCAAATCCAGAAACCCCCGAACCTCTGGAGTAAGCGAGAGCGGCACGTGCCCTGATGACCAAAAAAGGGGCTAGAAGGAATAAATCAAAAGGAGATTCATCTGGGGGTTTCATGCTACTCTGGAGCTGGTTCGGATTCCCGTGTCCCTTTCAAACAAAAATCATTCTCCCCTCTCGGGATGCTTCAGCCGGCCGGGTTCTCACATCTAGATAATGAGCCGTTGACGTTCGGGTCCTGGTTTGGACAATGTTCCTTTTGAAGGGACCATTCCCCGAACGTCAAGTTTTATTTGGTGGGATGGTACCCTTTTTTGAGCCATGCTTTATGTGGGGCGTGCCTTCAAAAGAGGTCCAACAAGCGATCCATATTTTGACACCCCCCCCATGTGTAACCTGTGTAAAGCAATTTGCAAGTTTCCCCCCGGAAAACAGCTTGTGAAGTGATGACCGCAAGCGAGCTTTGCTCCGGGAGCGCCCATCTTCGCCCTCGGGGGACGAACACCGGCTTTCGCCAACGAGGAGGAAGCGCACAAACACACACACACACCGATAACATGCAAGGTCGCCCAGGTACACCTTAATGATCGGATTTTTATTATATATATATATATTTGTTTTGGAAACTCAGGCATGTATAATATAGTCGGCCAACTGACAAAGCCGATCATCAGCCGATGATCAAGTCATTAGCCAGCAAACCCCTGGCTCACTCAATGCTGCATAGCATTGCAAGTCTTACCATACGTCTGCCGAAATACTACTAAGCGAAGACTACAAGAACTCGGGCAAGACTACAGGAAGTTTGCAGCAAGACTGCAGGAATTCTCCGGGAAGACTACGGGATGTTAGGTGAACAAATCGCAAAAGGTACACAACGCGATCGGCAAATCAGATAACAGCACTTGGCCGCATGTGTTTTCACCCCAGATCTCGCCCTGCCCGGCATGCGCTTCCAATATATTAGGTGGTGTCCAAAACATCCATGCTATCTCGTGTTTGTTTTTGAGGGTACCCCTTGTTCGGTGCTTGTAAAGGGAAGATGCTTGTCCCCTAAAACCGAGACACACCCGTCAGTTTGTCGGAACATGGTTTGGGACATCGCCAAGTTGGGATGGTTGGACCCCAGGTTTGTGACCAGAAACCGCGAGACAAGGTAGGCCGCCGGGTGAGAGATGCGTTGAAGAGGTTTTTGCGTTGCTTCAAGGGGGGCCCCGTTTTGGGGATCCCAACAAAGATGCCAGGGTCTTTTTGCCGCTTTTTGTGGAGCAAAGATCCACCCTTCGTGGTGAAGGATTCCTTTTTGAGGGGGTCGCCAATTTTCTCAGAAAAGGTGGCAAAAAGACACCCCTGGGAGAGGCTGCTCTTTTGTTTCTCTTCTTGTTGTTTTTGGGGGGAGGGGGCGGTGCCCCATTCAAAGACAACCCCAATAGCGAACGGCTGTCAAAAATTCAGGAAGTTCCACGCGCAAATCGCCGCAGGGTTTAGGCCATTTCCCAAGCAGCCAGGTTGAATATCCTTATGCAAACAGATTTCATCACACGATATGGTGTTATTTTGGGGTTTCCATTGCAGCTAAGATTTGTTGGTTGGGCCCCACAACCCCGTCTCTCGAACCAGGTGCTGAAGTCCTTTCGAAACGTGGCTATCGAGGCGCGCTCGCGACTCCTGGAATGGGGTTCGGGCTTTTTTTGTTCTTGGGCCACGCAATCGGAATCCATCAAGTTGGTCCAGAACAGTGTGAAAAACCATGAGGCAGGAACATCTGCAAAATTGGCTTAATGTCTTTTGGTGGGTTCGGAGGACCCGGTGCAACGTGCAGGTGCCGCGTTTTTTTTGATCCCTTTTGGTTGGCTTTGGAAGGCTATTGGAGGTACCCGACCCGCCACCCTGGGCTAGATACGTGGCTTCAGTCACGGGTAGGCAACCAACGCTGCTTGCCTCTTGGTGTTATATGACTCTCTTCGTGTTATATGACTGGTAAATGAAAGCACTTAGAATTTTGCATAGAGAGATCAATATATCATATTCATCACTACCACACACTTCCATATTTGGTCATGTTTGACCCGTTTTTGTCTTACCCAGGGTGTGTGTTTGGGATGGTTGGTGTGTTTGGGGCAGCCGAGCTTCAGAAATGGCTGGTGCATATTCATATGGAGGGTTGGCAGCTTGCGCTTCAACCAATGTATCCCGAAGGCCCGTCCCAAATTCATTTGGACCTGGAAACAACTTGTTTTTTTTTGTTTGGGGGGGGATTCCGGGATTTTGACTTTTTGTTAGTGGGGATTCATTTTTGTGGGAATCTCCAATTGCTCTGCAAAGTTGACATACCCTGGGGCAGACTCTTGTATTATGTTTCTTACAAAGAGCAGGGGCACTCACGCCGCGCATGATTCGATTCCGGGCCGTCCAACTGGCAATTGGCTGCTTGAGAGCTTGTCTGTTTGATCGCTTTTTTGTGTGTTGTTTCTTTCAAGTTGTGGGAAACGACAGTATCTCGAGTAGGACAAAGTGGTTTCCAGTGTCTCGCGTGTGAAAGACCTACTACCCAGTTTTTGTCAACCGCGCCCTTCGAACATGTGCGTGCCGCGGATGCCGGCACCTTCCTTGCAACCGATGTTGGGTGCAATTTGCCAGAGGACAGGGCTCCAAAGAGATGTGCCGTCCGTTTTTCAGGTTGAAACATTGCCTGTGGGAAAGGTGAAATGTTTGAGTTCCTGTGATGTTTGAAAGGAATGAGGGGTTGGCTTGTCTCTGCTCTGCGCCGCACGCTGCTGGCGCTCAAAACGTGAAAGCTGTTTGGAGAGTCGCATTGCAAGACAAAGGAGGTTGCATCCCCAAAAGAGAGACAGAGTTACTCGGAACCTCCAAAAGCACACCCAAAGAGTAGATTCTTGGTTTGGTGTTCCTTTGTATTCCCTTGTCAGGTTTGCACTTAAGCCTTGCAGGTTCTTAGCCAAACTGAGAGAGGTTCCTCAAACGGCTTTTTAGGTATCCATTATTATTATTATTTTTAGCAGGGGAGAGCCTGCTCGGCCAAGAGCCCGTGCAGCCTGCCAACAAGAAGGCCTGGTGCTGCCAATCCTCGCAAATTGCCGAGTGCATTTGCAAGAAAAAGGGGCCCTTTCTTTGGTGTGATGCTCGGTTTGACGGAAAGAGGGAAACCCCAAGCACATGAAGGATCCAACTCATTTGAGAAACGGTGAAAAGCGGCGAGGAAAAGAAAGAAAGCCCAGCGCTGGCTCGCCCGTCCATCTTTATGGGGAATCCCATCGCTTGAGCGATGGCCTGCCTCGCAGTGCGTCTTTGTGGCCGAAGCCGGGCACCCAAGCCATGACGGAGGCCCTGGGGCTGCCTCTACGACGGGTAGACAATGTGTGTTTCTTGTGTTTTTTTGGGGAACCCCCGTGTTTGGTTAGTTTGAAAGGGAAACCAAATCCCGCCATTTTGGTGGGGCTCCTGAAAAGTTCGACACCTCCAAATGGGCGTGTCTGATTGGGGACCTGAAATGGACACCAGACTTCGGCGAATTTACGTCCACCCGTGTTGGAGGGAGTTGCCTAAGAGTGAATGCCGTTGTTTGAGTACTTCAGTGGGTCAAGTAAAGGCCTGAGAGGGGCTTTGTCTTGGCCAGGCTTGTCCAGAGACAAGCCCCCAATCGTCATCGTGCATGAAAGTGTCCCTTGTGGTGGGTGTCCCCAGTCTGGCGGTGGTTGATAAAAACACCCAAAGGATATGACCTTGTTCTTCATTATGTTTGTCTTGTTTGCATTGGGTCTGTCTGTTTGCATTTATGTCTTTCCGTCTTTCTGTCTTTCTTACTTTCTTGCATCCGTTTGTTCTTTCTCTCTTTCCATCTTTCTTTCTTTCCCGCTTCCACCAAACCGGATAGCTCGCAAACAAAAACCAGAGGTTGTTCTTGGTGGTTGCTTTGAACACTCTCTGGGCAAAGAAGTGACATCCAGTTTTAGCCTGCTGATATCCAGTTGGTCGCTAGGTTGTGTCTTGTTTTAAGGACCCCCCCCGCCAAAATGGTGGCTTCCTTTTGGCTTCCCTTTGACAGAAAAAAAAGGGGTACTCGCCAAAAGAGAGACATGCGCATGGATGTCCTGTCGATTCTCTAAAGGGCCGCAAGGTCCACAACGATAGTCCACATCTTCTCGAAGCAACCGATATCTGCGTTCAAGCAATCGATATCCATGTAGGGGGTTGTCAAACGAAGCCTTTTCTGGTGGCCCCTTCAAAAGACGGTACGTGCCGGAGGCACCAGAGTTCCAAGAGAGGGCATATGTTTGACAACCCCCCAGGTCCATGTCTACCAACCAGAGCCATAGCTTCAGTGACTCTGGTTCATTGGGTTGCCCCTGCTGTGTGTCTCAGAGGGAAACTCAGAAGCCCATGGGGATGCCTTCAAAAGAACTCGAACAGGGCTGAGTTTCAAGGGTATCTTGATAGGTGTTTTCAAGAGTAAGCGCACCCCTGTTTGAAACTAGCATGGGTATGTTTGTTTTTGTGTTCGAGGGGAACCAATGGGTGTTGGGTTTGTTGGTTTCCCTTTTTTGGTATCCTCAAAGTGAGACACACCTACATGGTTGGTTCTTTCTGTCTCCTTAAAGCAAGCCCGCCCCCATTTTGGGCCATGGCAGGCGTGACGCAACCAAGCATTGGGACCCAGGGGAAAAACCGGGGTATACGCCTCTCATATAATTTTGTTACAGTGGCTAAGTGGTGTGGCTAACCATCTAATATTCTCTCCAAGGGGAAGCAATGAACGATGCCATAAATAGCCCCCTTCCGCATCCCTACTCAAGGTTGACGTTCTCACCGCCCAGAAGCATGAGCCTAGTGTTTTCTTCGGACGCCCTTTTTGAAGTGATGTCAAAGCGAACTCCAAAAGAAACGACACATATTGGAGCTTCTTTTGAGACGATCCCACATGTAAGTCCCAGGGTCCGTGGGTCAAAGACCCAAATCCATCGACATGGGCAACGCCGTGCTTCCATACACCGAGAGGTCAAACTTGGAGGGGTGAAACACGGGGCCCCCTTGCAAAAATAATTCCCTTACATGAGTTCTCCTCAGTGATTGCCTTGGCCCGAAGAAGCCAGCGACTTATTTCGGGCACCTTCGGTTTCCCGCCTTTGGCAACCTCACTACTTTGCCGAAAGCAAAATGAAGGAACCACTTTTAGAATGCCAGGGGAAGCTGAGCATGGTGGTGTATGTTTGTACCAAAGGAACATCTAATGTTTAGAAATGGACAGTTTCACAGAACAACGTCTTGTTGTCTGGGATAACCTAAGGACCGAGTTGCTGTTTGTGTTATTTGTGTCTTTCTTTCTTTTTTTTGGGGGGAGGGGTACCTGATAGATGTTCAAGCCTTTGATGGAGGTACTAGGTTTAATGGTTGGATGCTCAAGCGTGTAGTCTGTGCTAAAGCCACACCGCTGAGGATATGAGGCATCAGAGGAGCAACACCCTGGCTTCTTCCAGAGGGTCGAAGGCGAATCGAAGGGTGGATGAGGAGCTCGCAAGGGCATCATGACCATCCGCATGGCCCCATGATTGATTTTTTGTTGACAACCTTAGCTACTTAGAACTTTTGATGTTCCATTAGGCGATTCTTGCCTGGGGAACCCACTCATCAGAGCACTAGGGAACATCTCATATCCTCCTTGCTGGAGAACGCAATTCCAAGGAGGGCGACTCCGTGGCAGAAAAGTAAAGCAATGGCGCGAACCGGACTCGATCATGGAGATGGCCCTTCCTTGGGCATGGCACCCACCTCAGGGTCCCTAGAGGAACATGGTCTTTGAATCTGAGCGCGGGTTTTGGTCCATGTTTCCACTTACCAGGGCAACCCATTTTGGAATTCCGGTTTTTTGGGCCACAGCCGAGTCATGTTCCGTGCTAGTCTACTCTTAGTGGGTGCGTAGGTGTTACGCCCAGACCAAATCCAACCACTTGGCATGAGCTGAACGCCCAGAAGAGGCTTCCGGCATTTGTTGCGGCCTACCACTTCTGAAAGGCAACTGCCACAGGAAGGCTTTGAGGCTTTCAGGGAAAATTGCCCAAGCTAAGTATCATGCCTTAGTTGTGAAAACATTGGAGGATCAAGAGTTTTAGCTTGAAACCTTCGGAATCTCTGGTGGAATGACCCTTGTGAACTATCCCTTGTTATTTCTGTCAGGGGAGTCGCCCCTGTTCATTCTCAAAACCCTTGTGATTCACCGGGAACCAGCAAGAGTCAAGCTGAAGTTCAGGCGATGCAACCAGGGGACTACTGTCGTGCCCTCACTGAAATGATCTTTGCTGTCGTGTCCTTTAACCCAGTCACGCAAGGGAGTCTATGCACTAAACAAGGGCAGACCTTAAGAACTTGCGGGGTGGTTGCCAGACGACCGTCCTCTTGACAAGCTCCTTTGTCCTCGTCCATGATTGGTGGAACATTTTTGTCGGTCAAGATTTTGTGTGCCGGTGTTCCCTTACCCAAAAGATGCCCGCAAAGTAGACACACCTTATATGTCCACCATGTAGGGTGATTTACACCACAGCTTTGCGGCCTTAGATACAATTTTGCCATTTCGCATGTCTCAGAAAGGAGGCAAAGGAGTCAAGTGAACCTCTGGCTGAAATTGAATGGTTTATATCATGTTCAAAGGGATGTTCTAAGCACGCCTGTTTGAGGCCACGTTGAAGATGGCTTTTGTGTTCGGCCATGTGAGGTTCGATCAACATGTCCAGTTGTTTATCATGCGTTTGGAAAGTAAGGTGGACCAAACTAAAATTCTCACGAACCTCAGGAGACTCACCAATTTGCCTCATCATCTCTCGAAAAATCAGGTGCTTCATTTGAACCCTGCCTGTGGACGGAAATAAAAAACACATCCACAAAGGATGGACTCCTAGGACAACTGGTCGATCAACCGGTGGATCTCCCACACCAACTCTGCAGGCAGCTTCCTCCGCGCCATCGCCGACGGGCCCTCTGCTGTCATGGCCACCCGCGGCTCCGATGGCTGCGTGGAGTTGCAGGAAGCGAAAGCGGCGTCGGGGCTTTAGGGGGTTCAGGGGGTTCAGAGTGAACATACGGATCTGGGTCTGTTTGTTTCAGCATGGTTGGGAAACATGTTCACATTTTTGCTTAGTGTGGCTTAGTGGGAAATCCAACCACTGAACTGCCAAAATGTAATTTGTTGCTCCCCTCCCAACGTCGACCAAGTCAGGGGGGTTCAGAGTGAAAACATACGGATCTGGGGCTGATTGTATTTAGGGGACCCCTCAAAATGCTTCCAGGGGCTTCCTTTTGGTGTCCCTTTGAAACCAACCAAATGGTGGTTCCCCTAAAAACGACAGACCCATGTGAGAAATATTTTCATTAGGGACCGATTGGTAAACATCATTTGGATAGGGCTTTATGTCAATCAATCACTTTTGAGGTGGTTCCCGATTTATATTCATATCGATATGTGGCAAAATGGAGGGATCCCCGTGAAGTCGTGATCTTCCTACTTCAGGTTGCCGGTGCGACCAACATGCAAAGGGTACCCTCAAAAGACACAAACACGTACAGTTCCCTCATTTGGGTCTAGTCACCCTGTACTTATCCACAAGCAAATTGTGCAATCTACTTTTTTTCCCAGGTGTAGAATGTCAAAAAGATGGCCCCCTTTGCAAAACGCGTTGCGTCGCCTTTTACAGGGGATGCCAAAAAAGGCAACCCACAAAAAGCGCGTGTCAAATTGTTTTTGGGTTTAGTTTTCCTCTATCAAGAAACATTGGGGTTTCTCCAAGGTATTAGGCTCAGTTTCTGTGTCAACCGACATCTAGAGGGTGATTATGAGGATGTCAGTTTTAATGGACTCAGTGGGGTGAATGAACGAGCCCGGCATATTGTTGGAACATACCGCAGAGACTGTTTTTGTTGAGTTTTTTTGGTTTTTGTGTTTCTTTTCGGAAATGGCAAGGGTGTTCTTAGAGTTGCTCACTTCCCAAGTTCCACCGACTTGTGCTCATGTCGCTACATCGGCCTGTAAGTTACTCGTTGGGGGTCAATGGGCTGAAGTTCCCACATGGAGTTAGGACTGTCATGTGAGGGTTTAAGCCTTAGGCGCAGCTGGGACCTCAATGTTCGGACCTTGTACTTGTCAAGAGGATCATGTTGGGAAAGGAACAGTGGCGTCTCCACTGTTCAAGTTGACTCCTGAATTCGCACTTCCAGGAATTGAGGATGTCTCTGTAGGGGGGGGCTCCTTTCTTGGGAGGCCCTGGATTGAGGATGGCGTTTGAAATTCAGGTCAACTACAGAGAGCGAGAGAGTCAGATGGATAGAGAGAGAGAGAGAGAGAAACAAAGACAATCAAAAAGAGTGAGGCCTTGCTGGAAAGCCAATTCACTTGTCCAATTCCGAGTTTCGAGTTGTTTGTGCCTTCGGTGTATTAACTTGCCTCCCTGCAACAAAAGAGAACATGGTGTGCCTTAGGGCAAGTCCAACCAGTTGGCAGGAGCACGACTTCGGCGAGGGCACCATTTTTCAGCTGTTTCACAATGGAAGCCAAAGAGATTTCCACCGATGTTGCAAGCTCAATGTTCATACTCATGTACTGCAGGGGGATGACGTGGAGCACACTCACCAAATTACGATGAACATAGAAAATCAAACATCGCTCACCCAAATCCCATGTCATTTCAGGACACCATGAATGTTGACCACGGCTCATGTTCTGCGGGAAACTCGCCCCATTCTGTCCAGGGATCGGGTGATCGAATAGAAGGATGATTGAACATGGTTGGAATCAGCCCCCGGATTTCTGGTCTTGGACAGCCAGGAGGCGCACATGCCCGAGGAAGTGCAGCGAAGCTTGGCTCAAGTGACCCTAAAGAGCTCGCCTTGTCAGCCATTCAGCTTGCTGGTCCGATGAGCTCGCCCGAGCACTCCATTTGGGGAAGGGGGTGGGGGGTTTCTTGCGAGCGTTTCTTGCTTCGTTCGCTGCTTCACACAGCTTCACCCAACAGGTGCTCCATACACGTGCGCCTGGGCTGGCTCGGGCCTGGCCTTTTGCACGCAAGAAACCTCGCTTGCCAGACTCTGGCCTTGATCGAGTTTACATGCAGTCCATGCTTCTGAGTATATTAAGGAATCGCAAGACCATCTTCCGGGCTAGTTATAGGAATTGCTCGTAGGCGAGCGAGCCGCTTTGCCAAGATCGAAAACTCAGACAGTTGGTATGATTTCCTTCAGTTTTTCTTTCTGCCAAGGGCCAGTGTTTCTCTTCTGCAATCGCTATCTCAGCTCCGTGGACATTTCTTTACACGTGTCCGTCCCGGTGCAGCGACTTGTCATTTACTTGCTTGCTTCTCAGCAATGAGAGAATGCACCACAACCAAAACTATCCCTGGTGGATTTCCCTGATCCAAACGGTTCATTCCCAGACCCCAAAACTCCTGTTGATTCCCTGCTGGGAACCAGCAAGAGTCAGCAGGCTTAAATTTTAGCCTACCAACCGACCAACCGACCCGTCGACCTATCCACCGAGGGACCAAGCGACCTGTTGACTCCTTGAGACCACATAAGTGTCCTTTTTGGTTGGTGTTTAAAATAGATGGCGATTCCTGGTTTACCTGGTGGTTTAATCATCTACCAGGCCATCTACTTCCCTAAAAGACACCTGTTCCGCGCCCGTTTCGGCTTGAGGGCTCTTCCCGGAGATCTGGGGCTTTCTGCAGACAGGGCGCTGGAAGGAGGCGCGGATGCGATTGTGAAAATCCTGATGCCCAGATTGGAATCCCAGAGCCCCTTGCGTTGTTTGTATTATTATTATTATTTTCCGGGGGCCCCGGAAATGTGGTCTTGGTTGGTGTCCCTTGCAAAAAGGGGACCCTCAAAACATGACACACCCAGAGGTTTAAACCAATGGAAGGGTTTTGCCTGGTCCGACCAACTCACAGCTTCGAAGTTGTTTCCAAAACCCATAAGGGATTGGATGTTGTTTTGATTGCCCTAAGGAGAACATCTAGGTCCCCCAGTAGTGCCCTTTTACCCTTTTTGGGGGAGGGTTCCCCTACTAAAATCGACTACTGGAAAAAAGTCGCTACCCTTATTCTAACCTCTCTACTGGTGGACCTAGACATGGAAGCGATGATTCGTTGCGCGGGAACGGATTCGTTTAGCTTGCGCGATCCAATCAGATGGAGGTGCCCTTACCCTCGTGCTTTGAATTGGCTCTGGGGCCGTGTTGCTGGAAAACGAAAACGAAGCTACCAACCCAAACCACTTGGGCTTGCTGGTGACTTCAACTGATATGCCACTTCTGGTGATCCTTGAAAGATAGGCACAACACATTTTCCAAATCCTTCAAACAAGCCAGGCATTGCCAAAATGAAGATCACAAGAAAACCATGCAATATGCAATGCAATGCAATGCTTATATTATAGATGTTCTGGTTTCTGGAGATATACTCGTATTGCTTGATGAATATCGTTCTAAGGCATGCACCGAAGAGTCACATAGTTTAAGTCTTTGATAGCTCCATGCCCATGTGTCTAAAGTTACTCATGTTCCCCCGAAATATGGCGCCAACTATATAAGCACATGCAAGTGTGTATATATATATACACATACATATATACCGACACATGTTTATTGGAAGTGTATGTATACATATATTAATATATATATATATATATATATATATATATATTCTCGCATGTATGCATCAACAACAAATGCTTACACGCATATACATATATATATATATATACATATATATATAGATATATGCATATATACATATATACAATATGCACCCCCCCCCCCCACCCACCCGTCGCTTGCTCTCCGCCTGGACGAGGCGCGGAGCAGTTTGCAGGGCTTCCAAGAGCTCCGAACGGCGTTGGCCTTTTTGAACATCAAGGCGCGGAGCTGGGGGACACTCAGCTTGGGGTGTAGGGGAAACCAAGGGGAATCTATCCGTTTATCTATATATATATCATTGTTTTGGTGGTTGTTGTCTTTTTGTTTTTGCGGGGGTTCTGAGTTTGGAGGTTTTGAGGGTGCCTTGTTTTTGGTTGGTGGGGGGGGGGGGGGTTGGGGTAAACAGCGAAACGAAAAGGAGAGGCACCAAAAGAGGGGGATAAAACTGAAACTCCCTTCCAAGATAATAGATAGTTTGACCCCTGGTGTTAGTACGAGGGAAATGGGAAGGCACCCCTGAACCACCAATCAGCAATCCAAGCCACCGGTTAGCGGGAAGCTTTTATGTATTGATTATATATATATATATACATATACATATATATGTGTATGTCCCTTTCAGCTCGGGAGTTTTAAGGGGTCCAGCAGTTTATGCGACATAAGTTACGTCGGAACACATCTTGCCCAAGCGTTTTTGCTGCCTTCGTAGTTTGCTCCTGTTCATCGTGTCCTTTCCGTGTTCTGACTTTTTACGAGTTTATGTTGTGTTGCCTTGTTGTTTTGCTCGCCTTGCGCATTGCTTTGCTTTTTGTGGTGGACCTTGTTATTGTTGGCCTTGGTTTTTTTCCCGCCTTCTTTTGTTTGCCTTTTGGTCGTGTTTCTTGGGCTCCGACTCTCTATTGGGTTGCCTGGGTGGGCCTTTTTTTCGCCTGCTGGATGGCCTTTGCCATAATTTTCAAGCTGCTATGAGAACTATGCTCATTAGTCTCTTCGTGATTGACAACAACTACAGCTGGATTTTTGTACGTACTTCTCCGTGCGAGAAACATCAGCCCACGGCTAGGCACAGACACTCTTCTCGATGCTTGTCAACACACAGTTTACTCGCATTTGTTTTTGGCCTTTCGGCCATACTTGCTGGCCTTTTGATTTGTTGACTGTCTTTGGTGCCTTCTCTTTTGGCATTTGGCCCGTATCTTTTGGCCTTCTTTGTAGTTGCCGTTTATTGACCTTTATATTTCCTCTTGAAGGCATTCGGATGGCACGCTTTGGCTTTTGCTACATCTCTTGCTTTCCCCTTTTGCTGCCATCCCTGACCAGAACTCTTCTCCTCAAACCTGAGCCCATGGTTCTACATGCTGCCAGGGTGTATCAAAGTCAGAAGCCGATGTTGCTTCTACCACCGCAACGGCACGATGCCCAACAGGAGGCCAGTTTGCCCTCCCGGCAACCCGAAGACCATGTGTTTCAATCTTACCAGGGGATCGGCTGTTCGGGGGGCTGCGGGGCTTCAATGATGTTTGAAGATGATACCAGGGACCAGTTGGGGAGTCCAAAGTTCGATTGCCTGTTCAGGGGTTTCAACCAGAAATGAGACCGCTAACCCGTAACCATTTCAAGCCGCAGCACGTTTTTTGTGTTGTTTGTCCAGCCAAGTCAGGCAGCTGGTCGGGTTTGTCTCCTGGAAATTTTCCCGTGGATCAACTACGCAGCCAGTTGGCGCCCCCCGAAACCGGCGGTGGTTCTTTTTCTCCTTAACACTCCGCCACGTAGCGTAAGCTTAAAACTTCGACGCCAGGGATGGAATCGGCCGCACGGAATCGGCGCGCTGAAACGAAGAACTTCAGGTTGATCCAAGTCGCCCATTGGTAGCCTGCGCCCTTTTTCTTGAAAGGAATTCACTTGCGCACCAAGCAAATGAGAAAGGGGGTCCCACAGGCAATCTGAACTTCGCAGTCCAGACCGTCAGGGGGGTTCCCCTTTCAGTAACATCATGGTGGGAGGTCAGAGCTTTCACATCGGGGCCTCCGGCTTCCGAATGATTTTGCAGTGCAGGTCCGGCAACTGCCCATGGACAACGGCCTTGCGCCCGTGATCGTGCACAGGCATATGCTCATGTTGCCGAAGGAGAAAAAGCTAAGTGCTGACAACCATGTTCAAACAAAAAGACCTGGTCCCCTTTGAAGCGCTCAGACATGGCTAAACCGTTGTTTCAAACACGCCTAAATAAGAAGGCGACTACACTGCTCGGTCCCCCAGTAGTACCCTTTTACCCTTTTTTTGGGGAGGGTTTTTCTACTAAAATAGACTACAGAAAAAAGGGTACCCTTATTCTAACCTCTCTACTGGATGACCTAGCTATTTTTGAAATTCGTTTCTCAATTCCATGTCTTTCCCAATTAGTCCCTGCCCTTTTCAGCTTCCGTGGGCCAAGGCGCCACTTGAGGTCCATTTCTCCCGAAATTTGAGGAGCCCATACTGTGGATGGACGAAATCCTGCACCACCTAAGAGACCCTCCCCTGTAAATACCAACAAACAATGGTTTCCCATGAGGATTTTGTCCATCCACAGTATCTTTTGCCGCTGATTTTCTGTGGGCTCAGGGCAAAGACATTGATCCGTTCAAAAGGGAAGCGATTCAGGGCCCAATGCAGAGGAGGTCTTGCCGAGGAATCCGCAGCAAGCGCTCTTGAAAGAGTACGAAAGAAACGAGTGCAGGACTTTTCAGCGGATGCTGATATGCTGTCGGCATTGACCCTAGCAGGACTCCTTAAACTTTGAGAATCACTGTTAGGGCGTTACGACAAGTCCTCACTTGAAGGCCAGATTTGATTTGTGCCCTAAACCCTAAACCCAAACCTTCAGGTCGGCAACTGAACCATCCAACTTGAGTGAGACGTATACAGGCGGTGGCAGACACTTGGCCTTGGACTCGAGAACTGAGGTCTCTTTGATTTCTGTGATCGAGTTTCTCGTTGAAATCGCATCTCGACCGGGTCTCGATTTCCTGGTCTCCAAATTCCGTGTGACACCATATTGGCACCTCAAGCCAATGGACAACCATGCGGTGTTTTTTGTTTTTGTTTTTTCCTGGTACAATGGTGCACCTTTCTTCCAGGGTTGAACATCAATCCTCAATGTTTATGCCAGTTGGGTCCAACATCCGGATCCAAGACCCGTGGCTCCTTTCAGCCAGGAGTCCCAAGATCCCATCAGCTTGGTGTGGCTGGAAAGCGCGCCCACCACCACCCAAGAAGTACAGGGCGGCTTCGATGTACAGCTGGAGGCCGGTGGGCTCAGAAGCTCACAAGACTCACTAGACATGGTCAATAAGACTGAGTCCTGGACTTACTCCCTGAGTTCATGTCAAGCTTTTTGGGAAGATCTTTTTAGTTGTAAACGAAAGGTTTGGACTTGTTGGGCCATACTCAGAGTTAGTAGGGTTGGTCTTGGACCCTTCGCGAATTTGTTTGCCCAGATCTGAGATAGAACGAGTTTTGACCATGGCACATATGGGGGGGTATAGCCTTGCGGCAATGGGAGTGGGGGGCAGGTCGGCCATTTTCTGAATACTTCCCTGAAGGGAGCGACACGACAGTCATGAACATGGTTCCTTTGTTTGGGGTGCTCAAAGAGAACAAATGAGGGGATCGACAACAGGAAGCGCACAATGGTTCTTTTGAAGGGGTGTGTACAGGGAAACCAAATGCTGAGATTCAAACACACACACACACAAACACAACACACACACACACGATTATTTGTCTTTCTTTTTTTGTTTTTTTTTTGGGGGGGAGTCCCCTGCAAAATTTGAGCGCAATGGTCAATGTATGAATACATATATATATATATATATATATATATATCTACATACGTCTTTTTGGGACCCACAAAATGGTGGTCTTCCTTTTTGCTTACCTGTAACAACACAAAAAAAAGGTCACCCATTTGTAGGTATCTACCGGGAGATGGCTCTGACTGTGGAGCAACCCAACAAAAACGAACGGTCCTGAGGAGGTTCTACTTGAACCACCATGACTGGTTCCAAATTATAGGGGCACCTCATAATTGAGTGGCAAAACGGATGTGTTTGCTAGACTGTGTGTACGCTAGAATGGTTTAGGCGAACATGTGCGAACCAAAATGTCTGTGCGATCGTTTGCAAACCCAACCAACGTGTGCGAACGTTTGCGAAGGCATATCTACAATTACAAGAAAAGGCCATGCGAACCCAGCTGGCGTTATGCGAAGCCACGGATTAGGCGAACCCCTCACGAACCCCAGGCAGGCTAGGCGAACCTGTGCGAACGCATTTCAACTGGTCAATTAAGTTCTGACCTCATAGGTTTTGCGCTACAGGGGGGTTTACGAGTGTTGGAGGCATGCTGATCGTTGCAAAAGTGGCAAAAGGAGAGACCTGAGGAAGCTTGTAGAAGCCTTTATTAGATCCTCAAACAGGGTACCTTTGAACAGAACATGTGTTTTTCAATGAGCCCGTTCTGGTTTCACGCAGTGGTTGAGAGGTTATATTTTAAACCAGACGCGTATTTGGGTGTTTCAATTTGGGTGTTTCCTCAAAATGGGGTCTCCCTTCAATCAACATATAGCATTGATTTGTTGTTTCCGTTTGAAGCTAACCAACATGGACAAAATCCCTCATTTCAGCAGAAGCGCCCTCCCTTCACCTTTTCTGTCGATTTCCTAGTTGGTGTCATGTCGGTGTTCCTTGTAACACCCATCCAACCGAGAAGAGGGCTGCATCAATCTTAGGACGCTACAGATACCTTGTGGGTACTTGTTTAATCATCATCCAGAGAGGGATTAATTCAAATCTACATCCTGAGAACCCCCTTTTCCTGGAGAAAACACAAAGAAGCGGCCTCCACTTGGCAGGGACATGACGGACAGTCCCAAGGGGTCCTGCCGTCTCTTGATTTTTTTGCATTGCACCATTCGGGCGTGTGTTTTTTGAGGGTATCTTGTTTGGTCGTCTTAAGGGAATCCCAAAAAGGAAGGTACCCAACCTGGGGATTACTGTATTTTGACACAAACCCATTTTAGCATCGAGCTAGCTTTAAGAGCCAGCTCTTCGTGAAGCACCAGAACAAGTACCAAAGGCCAGCGATTCATCTCCCCTCACCTCCAAACCCCTGTGGGGCGTCCAACGAAGGGATTTTTGGATTGCAAGGCCCGCCTGCACGTCCGGGCAATCAACTTTTCACTGTCCAGATGTACCAGGATTAGGACAACAAAGCTGACTTGCAACAGCCCTTTGAGCTTTGCTTTCAACAGCCCCAGTCCCCATGTGCAGCTCCAATCCCCATGTGCAGCCCCAGTCCACATGTGCAGCCCCAATGTGCAGCATGTGCAGCTCCAATCCCCATGTGCAGCTCCATGTTTTTCCCAGCGTCCAACGGATATGGCCATGGGTCAAAATCCCGTACCCCCAGTGAACATCCCAATCCCCACTAAAATAGACTAAAATGGGTGGCGCACCTACCCCAAAAAGGTACCATTGGTTTTGACCCACAGCCATATCTCTTCGTGTCAGGGGGGTGCCACTACGCTCTGGGGCCGTGGCTTCAGCGTCAAGGTGGACCCTACCACTGGGGCCCTGCCAGAGCCCAAGACGGAGGAACGAACCGTGATCGGACCACGTGTTGGGGTTCCCAGCCATCTGGCTCCCTGGCTCTTGAAGCATTTTACTTGGTTTGGCGTTTGGGTTTCTATTCAACCTACTAAAACAGTAAGAGCTTTTAGCAGGGGATCTGAGGACAGCCCAGACGTGGGCCAGACGTGTTCTCTGTTTTGTCAGAGTTCTGAGTTCTGTGTTTTTGAAGCCCAACAAGTCGAGCTGACTGACCGCAAGTTGAAGCCCTTGGGGATGTAAAGAGAAAGGTCTAGGCCGTGAAGCCGGGCTAAAGGCGTGGATCCGTGGTTCTAGTGGTACTGGTTTTATTTCTGAGGGCGGGTTAAGGTGGAACGTCACCTATCGTCCAGTTGTTTTATTTAGGGTTTAGGGGTTTGCGTGCTTATAATTGGTACTTACTTTATGTCGGTTTCTTATATTCTTTATTGTGAGTGGGTTGAGGAAGGAACATCACCTGTTCGTCCAGTTTGTATGGAGTTTTCTTCGCAGGGCGGTGTGAGCGACGGGCAACATGACCGGTTTCATGTTGATGGGCATCAGTTTTTGCCAGTCCTCCAGCGGTTGACATGCGAGCCATGGTTAATATTTATTTGAGTATGTGTTTTTTAGAACATGGTTTGTGAGTGAGCAGATGTTCTTGGTTTCTGGCACAAAGTCACTAGAGCACTCCGCATCAGAAGGATAAAGGGCCCGATGATACTGCCATCTGACAGTAGGTTGCCGCAACGGGTCGGGGCGGGGATGGAAAGCGGGAGTGTGCCTCTAAAGTGGCAGCGACAATTCTGTTGGGCAACGAGGGAGAAATAGTACTGGCTGGGAAGAGTTGACAGCAACTGTGACTTGCCCGGTTTGATTCGAAGGCCAAAGCGGGCAGCCACAAACTGACTGAAGGGAAGGATATGCCAAGTGCCAAGTGCCTGCGAGGGCCTGCGAGGGGTCGACGCGCAACACAAGCAAAGGCAGCCTTGGATTCGTGCTAAGGTGCCCCAAGGGCTCAACTGAGCCTCCCGTTTGGGAGCCTTCTTCTCAGTTGCCCAAAGCCGACCTTTTAACCAGTCTTGGTCCGTTTTTAGTCATGGCCCCAAAAGGTTAACCTTTTATTTCTGGGTCCTTTGGGCAAGTGAGTCTTTGGTAGTTGCGGAGTAACCGCCAGGTTTTAGCGGACCGCTATTGGCATTACATGCGCAGGATCGGAAAAGGCGGGAGGCCCTATCTTGGGGTACCAAGGTCCCAAAATGATTGCCATGTTTGGACCAGCTGACATTGGGTTTTCTGACCAACGGGGCGTTGTGCCCACTTGCGAATGCCATCTTGTGCTCGCTTGACTGCCCTTGTTATGTGGTTGTTGTCGTGGGTTCTGTGAATGTTCGGTGGGTTGAAACACTCATTATTTTATTGCCACACACACACACACACCGCCCCAGCACTGCGCACCGCCCTTTGGACACACAGAGTTCAACGGACCAGCGCCGGACGTTTGTGTACGAACAGTTCTATGGCCTTGGGAGCTGAGGTACTTGAAGGTGCCAGAGTCGACGGCGTTTGTGCTGGTGGCCATCAATCGTTCCCTGAGGCGGCAAGTTGGGGGGGCGTTCCCAGAGCTCATTTCTGGCCAAAGCCCGGGCAAGCCGAAAGCCCGGCACTGCAGGCCTCCATCAAAAGATTGGCTTTGAGAACAGCACTGACGTTGCGATACGTTGCGAAGTCAAAACAAACTACTCGGGTTGCGATTAAAACGGTGGCCACTTGGGTCCGCGCTAGAGCAGGCTCGCCAAACGGGGTTCAATGACCTTTGCCGTAGTGATGCCCTTGCTTGGGAAATTCCTGGCTTCGAGAAATCCGAGAGGTTCCAGCCTCAAGCTGATGGGTTCCATGTGGGGTGGGAGAACCATGGCCCCATTTAAACTGTGCGTTGGAAGGTTTGCAACAGGTGTTTTTGGCGGGAAGATGTGATCCTTAAGCCCTTTCACAAGCAAGATTCATTTTCTGGTCCCCGCTCAAAACGGAATAAACCAACCAGAAAGGGGTCAAATGATTTGTCTACCACTCACTGGTTGCAACTGGGTCTATGTTGCGTTCAAAGGGCACGGTATTTTGTGCAGGATCAATGGTGTGGAACACAGTCTTCGAATGTGGTTCGTGGCTGTGTACGTCCCCCCCCCCATGTATGTTTGTCTAATTCTCCTTGGCGAGGGTACTGATTCTAAGCGAACTGCGTGGGCCCCTTTGCTTGATTGGGCCGAACTTTAGAAGACCTTTCGACTTGAACCATGCCTTGACAGAATGCCAACAAGATTCTGATGGCCTCCGACCACTTTCTGAGGCCCAATTCTAGGAAAAACCTGGACCCTCACACTACCCTTGCGAAGTGGATATTGTTCTCAAAAGTACGTGTCAGCGCCAGCAAACGCGGCAATGAAGGGGTAAGTTGCCCTCCCACCAATTCACATGGAACCTGACAGGGGAGTCCTAGAAGACCATAAGACCATTTGCCTTTCAAAGGGACTGGGTCCCGGGCGTCAGGTTCCGTGTCCCATTTCGGGTCTTTTGGGCAAGATGTTCGCAGGGGCAAGCTGATGCACGCCATGCTGCTGCGCCATAGCTGCTGGCCGCTGCTCCGGCAAGGCGAAGGCAGAGACCCGGACGGTTCCCTCACGTTGAAAAGCACCCAGTCGATTGAAGGAAATGGTGAGTGGTAAGTATGTAAACATGAGTCACAGTATATGGGCCTGTGTGGTAAATAAATCCTGCACCACTTGGCAACCATGGGAAACCCCTGTTCGTTGGTATTCTGAGGGGAATCATCATTCCAGCATTTCTTAGGTGGTGCAGGATTTTGTCCATCCACAGTATGAGTATATGGGCGTTGTTCTAAAGGTTCCCTGTAAGGAGTTTGGTATTCGATGACCATCGGTGTTGGTTGAGGTGGCTCCGCGAAAGATTCGCGATGGAGTTGCGAAAGTAAGTTATTTTTCCGCGAAAGCTTTGCGTAACTGTATCCTGCAAATCAGTGGTATGTGAAACCATTCATCTTTTCTGCTGAGCCTTCCTTCTAAGCTGATCAAAACTTTGTTCCCCACATTCTTGTGTTGGGTTCTTACTTTTACCGCTGTGCGCCCGCCGCCTGCCGCCCGCACCCGCCGCCGCCCGCCGCACCCTCACCGCCCTCACCGCCCTCACTCACTCACTCACTCACTCACTCACTCACTCACTCACTCACTCACTCACTCACTCACTCACTCACACACACTCACTCACTCACTCACTCACTCACTCACTCACACACACACACACTCACTCACTCACTCACTCACTCACTCACTCACTCACTCACTCACTCACTCACTCACTCACTCACTCACTCACTCACTCACTCACACTTACTTGCTCACTGGGTCAACATGACCATAGCTTACATGAAGCAAACCGCTCACCACAAGCACTTGAAAGTTTGTGCTAAGCACTTGAAAGTATTTTGCCACTGGATGGAAGATTCAAGATTGAAGAGTTCACAGAGTCAATCCTGGCCAAACACAAACAACATTCAAGTTGGGCCAGCCCCAAAAAACTTGCAAGTTGTTCTAAAACCTCGATTGAGTATTCAAGGCTGAAATATTTTCCGGGAATCTTGTCCTCTTGCGGGAGCTTGGAGATATGCGTTTGACTGCAGATGGGTGCGCATTTGGTTGCAGAAGTATGTCTTGAACACCTAGAGTACTGGGACAACCTGGATTTTTAATACTTTTTAAAATTCCGGGATCCAAGATTCAAGATTCCCAAAAATATTTTTCTCAGATTCTTGCATCTTTAACCTTGAATCCCCGAGGTAAACAATCCAGGGTTGTCCCAATACCTTGAGATGGATGCAGACTCTGTAAGATGGCAGATGATGATATCTTTGCTTACATTACATATGTATGCGCACATGCATATTACATATTACCCCCGCCCATGTTGCCACCAAATTAACGAGGCAAGAAAGGCACAAAACACTGGAACAAAAACACGGCTCAAGCTCACCAAACCAGTGTCCATATGGGGGGGTCCATGGGGGGGGGTACTATATATGTATATACATATATACATATATGGGTGTGCTTTTTTTTACGGTGCCCAAGGTTTAGTAAAGTATGGAAAGTTCGACCCGTGAGAATCATACCCCCGAACCATAACACGAATCACATCCCTTTCGTCAACACCAGGTGCCACTAGTCCGCTACTACTACGACTACTACAACTCTTACTACTGGTATTGCTACTTCTACTTCTTCTTCTTCTACTACTACTACTACAACTACTACTACTACTACTACGGCTGCTCCTGCTCTTGCTCCCAATGCTACTACTACTACTACTTATATTTCTTCTTTTGTTTCCACTTCTCTACTACTACTGCTACTACTATGCTTCTACGACTGCTACTACTACTAGTACTACTACTACTACTCCTACTCCTGCTCCTGCTCCTGCTCCTGCTCCTGCTGCTCCTACTACAACTACTACAACTACGAGTACTACTACTACTACTACTACTACTACTTTTACTACTACTACTGCTACTACTACTACTACTAGTACTACTTCTACTACTACTACTACTACTACTACTATGACCACTACTACCACTACTACCACCACTAGCGCTACTACTACTACCGCTCCTACTCCTGCTCCTGCCGCTTCTGCTACTACTGCGACTACGAGTACTACTGCCCCTACACTACTACTGCTCCTGCTCCTGCTGCTCCTACTACGACTACGATTACTACTACTACTACTACTACTACTACTACTACGACTACTACTACTACTATTACTACAACTACTACTACTACTACTACTACTACTACTGCTATCACTACAACTACTACTACTCACTACTACTTCCACCACTACTACTACCACTACTATCACTGCTACTACTTCTACTGCTACTACTCCTGCTCCTTCTGCTACTATTACTACTACTACTACTACTACTACTACTACTACTACTACTACTACTACTACTACTACTGCTTCTGCTGATGGAAAAACCTTGCTTCTGAAACATACCCCGAATCATATTGCACGTGCGTGACCCGGTGACCACGCGCGCGAAGTTAATAATATGTTTCGTCAACGGCAGATAGGCAGCGCAGCCAATGTTGCAAAGGAAGTTTCAGTGCCAGCACACCATACCCCAAATCATACCCTCGACTCATTTTGCGAACCTTGGTCCGAGTACGCTATTTTGGCGCACACACCACATACATAAAAATATGCCTAGTTACAAGTTCCATGAAAGAATGTCGCCCACTTCAAACCCCAGTTCCCAAGTGTCGGGGCGACGAAGAGTATTTAGGCTGCTCCTTGACACTAGGGTGTTCTTGAGCCGAAACCACATTTTCGCCCATGTTCATTTTGGGTGCCATAGCGGTTTAAGTAGTTAGGGCAGGATTGTGGGGCACGTTAAAACCAATCAAGTCATGATCACAGAAGGTTCACCTCCAGTTCCTACGCCTATGTTTTCCCGGATCCCTGGGCCCATATCAAGGTGTCCTACATTTCTATTTGTCGATGGTAGCAAGCAACACTGCGGCCAATGCGAGGTGAGCTTTGGTGAGGTGATGTTTGAGGGGGGTAGGCAGGAAGAACCGCAGGTCTTCTACCTTCAAAGAATCAGACAAATCCAAGACGTTGTTTTAATGCAGAATCAAAACTAAGGCGGGGCAATGGGGCTGAATGCAGCTTCAAAACTAAGGAGGGGCAATAGGGCCCTGTTTTTCCCAGAAAGGTTCTCTCCGTGCAAGAACGTTTTCCAAGGAGGTTCCTTTCAAAACTTTGAACCTTTTCGCGTTCGGAGGCTACCTGCTCTTCGTGCAGTTCAGACCTAGGAACTGCCGTGACCAGCAGAACTTCGCCTCATGGCCCTCCTTTTGGTACCTGGCAGAACTGGAACTCGTGGGCTCGAGGCCGATTCGAATCGAATCGAAGTGCGTGTTTCTTGAGGATACGATTGTCAGGTTGGTTTGAAAGGCGGGGTGATCTTGGGAGCCTGGCTTCGACAGCGGGATCAACGCGGCCAGAAAAGGGAAAAACCTCCACTTTTGTTCGCATATTCAAGCAGATTTTCCCGTGCGGTTAACCAAGTGCCATGCTTTCCCAACCAGTAGTCACCAAGTACCCATATGATGACAAAATACGGGTCACTCACCAAAATCGGATGTAGGATTCGGAAGCCTTCAAAGCTGAATTCTGTTTGGGGGCTACCTTTGTTTGGGGCAGTGACAGACCTCATCTGACACCCGCCCAGGGTGAGGATGGTCAGGAAGAAAGCCGTAGCCCGATGCCATGACCACATGAGAAAAGGCAACTGATGTTCCAAAGCCTCTCACTCCCAAAGGCCCTGAAATATGTTTTCCCCCTGCGTTCCTCAATCCTCACCCACAACTTATGGGTTGCTCCTGAGTCTTGTTTGTCCCTTGGCTTTGCGGGTGAGCACATGAGCACACGGATCACATTCCCCGACGAGCAAATGGTTGGGACTGCCAAGGCACAAGCCAGCGTAGAATTTGATCCCAGCCACCGGCGCAAGCACTCCGCCGGAAAGCTAGCAGGCAAAACGAGGTTATGTTCGCTTCTTTCGGGTTGGGGACAAATGAGAGTTTGCCCAATTGATTTGTCCCATGCACCAACTCGCTGGCCTTTTTTTCGCCGTCAGGGGGGAGCTGCAGTGCCGGCGCCAAGTGATACGCCCTGGTGGCCTTGCAGTGATGGAGACACCATCGGGGCTGGGGAGTGCAACGACTGGGACCGCTCTCAGTCAGAGGCTAAACCCCTTTTCAAAGGCAGGGATTCCGATCGTTTGCGCACAAGCATGTGTCTAGAACCTATTTGTTAGAACCCATTGAACGGGTCACCCAATCTGCTGTTCTTTGTCTCGTGTTGAGTGAGTTCGGGACACTAAACATGGCCAAAACAAGACAGCATCCTGTTCGATTCCTACCAGTGTTCAGTGATGTCAACTTTTTGGATAAATCCAAGACTCAAAAGTAGACAGGGGATTGAGATCTGTCCCGTAGAAAGATCAGGAAAACGACTTCATGACTCTTTCAATCCAAAACGATCCCAGGGTTCATAATGGACAATGGTTTCTTCCTTCAAGAGTCCCTGGTTTGGACCTTAGGCTGAGCCTTTGGATCATCTTTTTTGGCGATGGGTGACTTCACCAAAATCGGCGCCCAGACCTCCTTGCCTGGATTGTCCGATCTAGGAGGACGCCGTGTGCTTTGTGACCAACGTGGAGAGCCTGCGCTGCGCGCGGCTCACAATCTTTCGGGCTCAGGCAAGCGGTGCTGAGGGGGCGTGCCGAGGTATAACGGGCTCGTTTTTTCTTTGGTGAGGGTGCTCCTTTTTGAGCGGTTTTCGTGCAAAACCAAACGGAAGCTCACTAATTGAAAACGCTTCGCGTTGCCCGCCTCGGCCAGAATGCTTTTGGATGGCTTTGAGGTACTGTGTTTTGGTTTGCCTTGAAGTGTCACAGTGTTATGGCCTCAAGGGCTGGATAGAACAAGAGCCGGAGTGAGAGAGCCGCAGAAGGGCAGTGGACTGTGGCCAAGCGAAGCCAGAGGGGATACGAAAGGAATTTGACCGGTTTCTAGGGGCCTGTTTTTGGAAGGGATTTTCCGAATTTGACCGGTTCCAGGGGGGGATGACGACGTTTTCTATGCGGTGTTTAGAGGTGATTTGCCTGGTTTGGAGGCGCATGAAAAGTTGACACCTGGCAGGCGTGGATAAACAGCTGAGGGGGCGCGCGTGAACGGGCGTGCTTGCCACTGCGGATACAGCACTGAGCGGTGAGTGGGCGCGCATACCACGTGGCAGGCGTGGACAGCGGGCGCACGTGAACGGTGTGTTAACCACTTGGCGCGTGTGGGGGCGCGCCTAAGCGGGCACGCTTACCGCTTGGCAGGCGTGGATACACCGCTGAGCGGGTGCGAGTGAACAGGTGTGCTTACCGTTTCCCTGGGGTTCGGCGACCTTGCAAAGGAAAACCTTTACGACTCGGCCCTTTCTTGTACCACGCAAGAGCTTTGTCTCGCAGCGGTTGTCCCCTAGAGCCCCTTGTTGATGATACTGGTGACTTTATCAACTATTGGCACACGTTTGCTGGCCTATTTGGCAACATATCACGCAAAGCAGGCTGGTTAGCGCAGGCTGCGGAATATCAAGCTTAAGATGCAGGATGACTAACATTAGGCACGAAGTGGCTTCAAAATGCGCGAGGCTCCTGCTTGATTTGTAAGATTGGCCGAGACACTCTTCACCGCCCTAAGTGGACGCCAGGCTAACAGAGGCTAACGTCGCATCACATCATGAGACGAGAATATCGCAATTGCCGTGCTGTATGCCTAAGCTAGCCTCGAATATACAAACGAAAGACGTTCATACATGAGCCCTTGTTTTCATTGCCTTTTGGACCCCAGAAACTTGCCAGGTGTGGCCACAGCGCTGAGCGGGAGCGCTGGCTTGTTTTTTGGACACCTAATGTCCACGAAACGCGGCGCCTGCCACGCGACATGCGCATGTTTGATCTCCAAAGCACGTGGAATGCTGCACTGGCCACACGAAACAGGTGCGCTCGCACGGCGCGGAAACGCTTGCTTGGTTCCAGGTTTCGTTGCCGCGCGCGCCTGTGCAGTCAGAATGGCGCTTTTCAGCTACAACATGCGCGAAATTGCGTTTGCCAACGCAAGTTTATGAGCAGCGAACGTGCCAAAACGCGCGTGCACGCGATAATGGAGCCACCACAACAACAACAACAACAACAACAACAACAACAACAACAACAACAACAACAACAACAACAACGACAACGACAACGACAACGACAACGACAACGACAACGACAACGACAACGACAACGACAACGACAACGACAACGACAACGACAACGACAACGACAACGACAACGACCACCACGACAACGACAACGACAATGACAATGACAATGACAATGACAATAACAGTGACATCATCCACTGCAACACTAGCCTCGACTTTTGTGCTGTTCGGCAGGCCTCGGGTGCGCTGTGCCTGCCGGGTGTGGTGGTGAACCTTGTGGCACCGAAAGCCTACGAGTTTCCCAGCCAATACTACGGTCGGTCTGCGTATAGCCGCGGCGCAAAGGAGACCGATCACGACCATGTTCTGGGGTTGTTGGAAGCTTGTAAAGGATGTCTTTGCGTTCCCTCGGTGTTCCTGGTCCCGTTCAATGTCCATGTTGCGCGCTCATGAAAGTGATTGCGGAGCACCTCAGAAAGGTACCCAGAAAGAGCCTGTTTACTTTAGAGCAAGTTTTTGACAAGTAGAGTGTTGCCTAACAGGCTCACTTTGACCATGGCACATTCATTTGAGTCTGGAGGGGACGTTTCTGGGCCCCGCCACTATCAGAGCTCCTTTTTCTAGGAAAAGCTGTGTGGCGAAGATGATGTTATTTTCTGTTGATGTGGCAACGCAACCGACCGACCAACCAACCAATCAACCAACCAACCCACCAACCAACCAACCAAGCAAACAAACAAACAAACCAAACCAACCAACCAACCAAACCAATCATGAAGTTCAGCCTGCTTGGTTGCATGTCTTTGTTTCGGACATGAAAATGCCTGGTACTTGGACCCCCAACTTATCCTTGAATGAAGACACACCATATTGGTAATGCGTAAGGAATGTTTGAGGGTCTACTGGCACATAGCGTTCCCACATGGGAACCAGACAGCATACCCTGGGACTCAAACCACCGTGAAAACAATGGGGGGTTAATCTCGCACCATTGTTTGCCCCGATCGAGGATCATCCTCCAAATTGGTTCCATGCCTTTCATTTGTTGGGGGTTGGGGGTTCCCTGCGGTATACCCCCCCTTAGGTACAGGTCTCCTTTGGTGCATGTTGCTTGGCTGTTAGGACTTTAACTTTTTGCCAACTCATGGGTTTTCCACTAAACCACTAAAAGTTAGACTTTTAGCAGGGGAGCAGAAAGCAACCGAGTCTCTGTTCCGTTTCCGTTAAACCTCTGGGGTTCAACAGGCCTCCACTGACTCGCGCAGATCGGACAGGACGTGCGAACGCTGCACCCAGAGGGCCGTGCCCCGGCGGCTTTGTGGCTGGTGCGCCGCGGTCATCAGTGACTCGGAGAGAACGAGACCTGCGTTTATTTGGCTTGGCCCCCAGCCGTCCCCTTAGCTTGTTAGGCTTTTAGGCAGCCCAGTTGGGTGGTGGCTTTTTTTTGTCCGCTCAAGCGAACATGTATAGACGTTGACATATGCAAAATGTTCAGGGAAGAAAAACCACCACTCATTCGGGTGTGTCTTTTCTGGTTCGGGATTACCCTTCGTGGCCTGGTTTAAACGGAGAACAAAAGTACCACCAATTTGCGGTCCCCTATTTGAAAACTCCCCCATTTCCCAAAAGGCTCTCCCTTTAAGTTGAATTGCTCCCCCACAGTACAAGGGTTGTCCAAAAGCCTTTGCCATTTTTCAGGATTCAAGAAAGGGTTCTATGCTAACTTGTAGGGGAGTAAGTCTACCTTGAGGCTTGCTAGATGAAACCTGCCCCCACTTTTGGCTCGAATTTGCATGTGTTTTTGCTGCGTCGAGCATTGAACTTTAACAAATGCCCAATGGGTCTATGGGGCCGATTCACCGCTCAGCCTTCCCGTCGAGTGAAAGTAGATGTCACAACTCGCTTGGGTAAGTAAAGGGGATGACAGAACCAACATACTGCAAACTACGTTCACCCCTTAAGATTCTTGATTTGTCTTCGTCTCCGAAGGAAGTTGGAACCGTGGCGATGAAATATATACTATGAACTCAAAGCCGACCTTTAAAGTGCCACTAGGCACTCCAAAGACTGGCCCTTCACCAGGTCCTTGGGGCAAACGATTGAAGGTGTTCGAATCCGTAGCAAGCATACATGGGCAAGGGGGGAGTTCTCAACCAGAAACAGGGCAAACTTGATTGTACTCAATTTGAGTAGATGTTTGCCGGGTTGCCACTTGTGAAGGGACGCCACGTCGCGAATCCACTACATTCACATAGGCTGCTGGGTTGGACGAGTGCAAATGTGTTCCAACCGATCAGAACAAACGCGCGTACTTTGGGGCCAAGAAGAAGGCGCCGGCTTCTTGGGAAGGCGCTAAATGAAGCCCGCCGAAGCCTAAAGGAACATCATGAACAAAGCACAACACAGAGCAACATGAAAGAGTGTACACAGCTTCCATTTGCTAAAGTGAAAAAAAACCCTATGTATTTTCCCTTGTTGGTTTTAAAGGGATCTATCACTACTGGACATGGGACAACAACATGACAGACAGCGGCGTCAGCTAGCAAATTAATCAAGAGGATGATACACATGCACCATGACTGACTTGTTTGTATGTCTTTGTCTCCTCTCCGTCTCTCTCTCTCTCTCTCTCGCTCGCTCTCTCTCTCTCTCTCTTTCTGTCTCTCGGTCTCAGTCTCTCTTTGTCTCTCTTTCTCTCTCCCTCTCTCTCTCTCTATCCCTATGTCTTTGTCGGCAGCAAGTTGGTGATAAACGTGCTCATGACTGACCTGTCTGTCTTATAGTGCACCGTCACACTGTCATTAGGCGTGCGCAGCGGGCGTGCTACACTAAGGTCACACAAAGCACCAACAGTTGGCATTGGAAGGCATGATTGCTCCATGTATCTTGAGCCTTTCGGAGCTACTGATTGGAGTTTCGGGTAGGGACATAGGAGTTTGGGCTTGGATTCCCAATGTTTCCCCTTGGTAAGCATCACGTTCTGGAGTCCCTCAAAAAGTGAGGCTAGGGTATTTGAGGCAGGTGAACCTTAACATACTGGACGGTTCTGAAAATTGGAAATTGGACCTTCCGGTCTTCATTAAGAAACAAACATCAACCGCCTCGATTAAAGGATATTTAGCCAGCTGAAAAATCTGGTGCAACGCGGGTTCCATTTTTTAAATCTCGGCTGATTTTCGCAGGTAAGACCCCTGAAAGAAATCGAATCACGCGGGTATGGGTGAGTCTTTCTTTGGAGGACCCCCTTTTGGTTTTAAGAACAACTATAACTAAAAGGAAACAACCGTTTTAGGATCCCCTCTCTATAGAAAAGCCCGAAGTTCTTGAGGCTGGTGCTTGTCATTCACGCAGCCGACAAGCGCGTGGCACTGGCGCAGTTGTCTGGGCCCAACGGCACGAAACCTCCACTCGGGGCGCCGTGGAGAACACGGGCGGAAGGTTTGGGTGAGGGTCACTAAGCCCAAAAGGGAGCGAGACCTTGTTTGGTTCCATGTCCCTCCAAAACCAACTTTCAAACTGTTGCTTTCTGTTCAGTTGTCTTCGTTAAGTGGCTCGAATAATATAAGTTTAATCTTTGAACCAGGCACAGGCTTCCATTTTCACTGCCCAAGATAGAGTTGAACCAAGACCATTCCCAGAGGCCATCTTTGCCTTTCTTCGTGTATTTTGGGGTAGTCAAATGGAACCTTGTTCGGGCGTGCTTCAAAGTCTGTTTGGTGTAGGTCTTTTTCATGCAACACAGGGGACCCTGGTAGTGGGCTTTTGCGCGTTTTGAGGCTTCCAGTCTTTCCATGGGTGAGCCATGTCAGTTGCAATTGATCTAACAAATACAGAGGAAGCATCTTGAGAAAACCAGAAACAGCTCGGGAAAACCAACAAGAAACAAAAAACAAACTCGAGAGCAAAGAACAATTGACATGATTGAGAAACTCTTTGGCGCACAGCCCATGTTGAAAGAGTTCTGCAAACACGTCACGTGTGGATTTTAGAGTGTTCTCGAGTTTTTGTTTGGGGTTTTCAAGGTTGTTCTTGTTTGTTAAAGCCATGTGTTGTTTGTTTTATTTGAGTTTGTTCCTTGTTGTTGCGGGTTTTCTGTGCCTGTGATGGTTCTACCTTTGTTCTCGAGTTTGTTTTTTGTTGTGTTGGCAGAAATTATCAGCTTGGCCTGCCATTATTAGATTCTACTTAACGTCCAATTGATTTCTGCTTAGCCTACGTCTGTTCCCGGGTGATTTTTTTGTTGTGTAGGCAAAGAGGCAGAATTATGAGCTTGCGTGTCCTTATTGATTCTATTTAATGTCCAATTGAATTATACTTAAAGTCTTATTTGCAAAGGAATTCCTATGTCAAGTCAATCTCAAAACACGAACTCTAAGTGTAGTAAGTCTATTTGAACTAACTAGAACAATCAATCAGCTTGTCTATCAATACGAGGTTCTATTTAAATTATAATTAAACCCCATTCAACATCCTAGATACTTGAATTTCAATTCAGAATATGGCTCAAAATAATGTATTTGAATCACTCAGAAGAAACAAGCTGGTCAACCAGCGTATCTTTCCTTACACGATTCTATTTAAATTTTGTTTGAATTGTATTCCCGTTTTGGAAAGGAGTTCAAAGTATGAATTCTAATTGAACTCCAATTGAAGTCATATGTGCAAAGATGATTCCGATTTATCATTTGAATTAAAGTAAACCTAATTGAAATCCTACTTGGAAGTACGATTGAAAGCCTAAATCAAAATGAATACTTGCAGTGAATTGTAATCGAAACTCCATCTAATGTAAAGCCTTGCAATTCAGTACTTGCAAATACAATTTGCATTGTCCAGGGGTTTTACTGGTTGTTCACTCCGTTTGTTAGAAGACACAATAAGCTTATTTCTCCTTGTTAGATTTTATTAAAATCCCAACTAGAGTCCTACTTGGAAAGGACGCCCTATGTTAATTCCAATTCGATATACGACTTTACAATCAATTCTATATAAACAAATAATACACTTAAAGCGTGGCAATTTTAAGTTTGCAAACCATTAGGACTGAAATTGCATATTCGTTGCGCTTCTATCGGTTTTGACTCCGTGTAAGGGGCAGGCAAATTCGCAGAAACTGCACGCTTGTCTTTCCATCCTGCAATTTGTTTGAATTTAGTGCAACTTTAACGCCAAACTGGAATGAAAGAAAGATGCTAAGATAATTGCAGCTACTCTGGCTTGAATGAGCAGCAGCAATCAGCAGCATGCTACAACTATCGAAAGTAGAGGCCGTTGAGTGATTCGGAAATCGCAGTTACAAACACTCTTCAGCAAAGCAATCGTACAACTTGCTCAAGATATCAAACCTCAGCATGGGTATGGGTCAAAATTAAACCACCAGGGCACCGCAGGTTGTAGTCCATTTTTCCATTTACCAGGGTTCCATTTTGGTTGCTTATTTTTGACCCACAGCCACATCTCAGAAAAGTGCCCTACCACAGTCCCCCAGTCTTTCTTGAGGGTACCTGGAGTCTCCATGACCCTGGGTCAGGAACCCCATTTTTAAGGGTCATGGAGACTCTAGGTACCCCTTGGTGCTCCTTTTTTTCCTCTGGAAAACCAATTCCAATCGAAGCGCTTCGACGTGGATCTCCCTGGTGTCCATTGGCGAGCCCAACTGAGCCCAGGGAAATGAGACCGTCAAGGGAGAACATGGGTAAGACGGGAACTCCAAGGGGAAAACCAAAAGGAAGTTGGTGAGTCAAACAGTGGCGCCCACAACCGTGTTTCAGGGGTCAGACCCCGTAAACCTGTGTTTGGCAACCTTTGTTGGATTGAACTCAAAACAGGGTCTAAACGTATTGTTGGTTCCGCCGGGTCCAGGAGTGTGTTTCTGCTTCTTTAATTGTGGGAGGCGTTGTCAATCAATTTCAGAGATTAAACTGCAAACAAAGATGAAGCCGATGTTTTAAAGGCATTTGTTCTTGGCAAACCATTTTGCATCAACAGATGATTGGAGGGTCTGCAGTTGCCAGTTTCAGCACCGCTGACCTTTCCCGAGGACCCTGTGCACGCTCAAACTGGTCAAGGACAGTTCTGGGACGTTTGGTGCCGCCACGACCGATCCTCGGTCTCCAGTGGCATCCGGGTGTGTGTGTGTTTTTTGTCTTTTCCTTTTTCTTTTGTTTGTTGGCTTTGCTGTACAATTAAACGCAAAAAGGGGGCAACCTGGACCCGTAAAATACTCTTTAACAAGGAAACACATCCTAAACATGTTCAGCAATAATATATTTGTTGAGTGTCGTTCGAGTATATGCTTAATGATGTTTGAAAAAGCTGAGCAAGACAGGATCGACTCAGACCTTCCGCGGCATGCATCGGTATCATCTCCGTGGCAAAAGAGACGTGCCCATGTGCGAGCAAGTGCTTTCGGTGATCCCGTGCGACTCACTTGCAGATCAATTTCCGGCGTCCTTGTTCCGTGTTTGGTTGGTCCCCTGGTGAAGTCAAAGACACCTGAGCAAAAAGCCTAGCTACCCCACGAGGGGTTGTGGTTTGTGGCCGCAGTTGTTTACTTGGTGCATTTCTTGATTTATGTTGTTGAAAAGTCATATTTCACCCAAAATGGCCATGTTGAGACTTCAAGTACCTTCTTTGGGCTTTGTCGAAAGGGAAACCAAAAGGAGATCAGCAGCAAAACAAAGGGAGCCCACCTGGAAACATCGCAAAGCATTTCTGCCCGATCTGAGCTAAGGCGAGGTAGGAGTTCTCATTCTGCACAGGGAAACTGCCAAGAGCCTGCCGAGATGTTGGTGCTCCTTGGCTTGGGTGCGGGGAATGGGTCTGTCTCAAAATTCTGGAGCCGCTGTGGGATGGCGGGTTTAAAGGAAACCACCAGCAAACCAGCCACTTTTGGGGCGTCCCCGATTTCGAGACACGGTCAAATGGCGCATGTTTGCTTTGGGTTTCCTAAAAGGAATGGTTTCCGCAACAGTTACCTCGGGGGTTTCCCATTTCCCAGATAGGTTCCGGAGTCGTTCGCGGAGGGCGGAAGTTTTGGAAGGCAGGTTTGCCTTAAGCAAAAGCCCCTGCAAGTTGGTCCTATTTCCACTGTGGTTGCAAGTTCCATTGGGGTGTGGTCTTTTTTGAGGCTACCCCTTGCCTGGGGGTTTACAGGGAAATGAAAGGGAAATTATGTCTTTTGGGGGGGGATTAGTTTTTTCATTATGTTGGCAGGGGGGGTAGCACTTTTGTGCCTGAAGACGAAGATGAATTCCGAAGCGCCCAGCCACCCGCCTGAAGATGCGAAGACGAATTCCCCCCGAAGACGATTTTCCCCTCGAAGATGAATTCCCCTCGAAGATGAATTCCCCTCGAAGCTGAATCCCCCCCGAAGACGAATTCCCCCCCCCCCCCCCGAAGATGAGTTCCCCCCCCCCCTGAAGGACACGGGGGAATGTGGCGTCGCAGGGGAATGTGGCGTCACAGGGGATGGCGTCACGGGGGATGTGGCGTCACAGCCCGAGACCTGAATGTGGCTTCCGCAAAAAGTGCTACCCCATGTGCCGGCTCTCTAGTTTTTGGGTGGAGTGGTGGTGACTGGGTTTTTCGGATGGCAGAATTCACAATTTACTTGGCGGACCTGAAGCGGTGGCCCTGCGTTGAGCTCGCTGCATTTGTCGTTTGCCCCGCTTGCCTGCCTGTTCTTGAAATGGTTCTGGACATGCTGCTTGTTCACGTGTGTGTTTCCCAAAAGTGGTTGTCTTGAGGCATGGGTTTTTGCAACAAAGTCAAGCACAGTTCCCAGTTTCAGTCATAGGTTTTGTACCCTGCTCCCCAGTTCCCCGTTGTAAGAAGCGCCAGGACGGTCATGTCACCTTGCAATCGATTGTGCTCAGCCCACTTGGCGGAATCTGCCAGATGTCTTGTCTGAAGGACAGGCACCCGCTTGAAGTCCTCGGACCCCCACAAATTCAGGGCTTGTAAGACGTTGTGGGGCAAGAAGGGGGCAGGGCGCCGTTTGAAAATCAACTCCAAGACCAGAAAAGGGGGCGGCCGTTGTTTTCCCCACCCACTAAAGGTTTGAGAAGGCGATGAACCCCCGCGTTTGGTCCAAAGAAGAAAATCTTTGGCTTGTCCATCGGCTCGCCCATCGGCTCGAAAGCCGCTCGGAACCCCGAGGCGTGCGCTTGGACACGCCCATTTTGGCCCAGTGGAGCCACAGCCGATGGCAGCCCTCCGAGAAATGGCCCGACCATCTGCCTGAGCCCGTGCCTGTGTGCACGGACAGCCCTATGGAGTTCCAGAGGCTGGGGTTTAGAGTCAGGCTTGGCCCAGGCAGGGCAGAAGCGCGGATCCTTTTGCCCACTTTTTGTTGGGGAAGGCTCCCCGCAAAAAACATAAGAAACAGCTACCGAAAAAAAGAGAGAAGTTGAGCATGATTTCCCATGGCCACTGAGTCTGGAAAAACAAAAACAGAGGCCAAACAAAGGGTGTGCCCTTGATTTCCTACAAAATGCCACTGGGTGGCGGCATGTTCGAAGGAAGCCTTTTGTGAAAGACAGACTTCGTTGTGGGTGTGCTTGCCCATTTTCTTTTTTTGGGTGGATGTGTGCCCTTGATTTGCGCGTGTGTTTGAGCCTTTTGGTGTGCGTGTTGGTCCACCACCAAAAACATCTTGGAAGAACAACCAAAATAGGAACATGACGGATGGCTGGGGAGCGCTCAACTATGATGAAGAGAGGCTTGCAGCGGGCCAAAGAACTGCGCAGCTCAAGCGTAAACACCAAGAAGAACAAGGTGAAGTTGTATTCCAACCAAAAAATGGCGAAGGCAAGTGAAGAAGAAGGCCATCAAGCGTCAGGAAACCAACAGAGATGGTTTGTGGAAGCCATCACTCAGACTCAATGAAGACCAAGCAGGGGCGGCTCGCTCCGGAGTAAGCCAAAGTTTTCCTGAACCGACCTGGAACTGCGCTGTCAGGTGGCAGCTTCTGAATGGCGACCTAGAGCTGCGCCAATCCTTCGGCAGGGTTCGGCCCATAGGCGCCGGACGTTTTTGCAGGGTCTCCAAGTTGGGTGCGGAGTAAGGAGCCACAGCTGTCACGTTCCCGAATGGAAGCCAAAAGGAGACGCATCATTTACATGTATATACATATACATGTGAAAATGTTTTTGTTTTTTCCCCAGAAGCTATAAAGCGCAGGAAGCCTCACTCGCATCGCTAACCAAGGGTTTTTAATAGGCTATGACAAAGACTGGACCGTGTTCGATTTGGGGGTGCGAGGTGTCCACAACCGAGTGTGGTCAAAAGATCTTGAAATATGTTCTGTGTTTGGATCCTACGGGTATGTGTCAGAATAGTGTGGACCTCCAAAATGGTGGTTTTCCTCTTTGCCTCCCAAAAGACATCCCAATATTTCCGTGCTTGGAAGGATAGAGCAATTCGATTTCAATGGTTCACTTTCATTGATGCAGTTTATGGGTGGGCTCTGTTTCGGGCAGGGCCAAAAAGAACAGCAGCCCTCAAAAAGACCCGATCGGACTACGCTTCCTTTCAGCTCGGGCTTTAATGGACATCACTTGCCTTGGCTGGTCATGGGTGATGATTCTGGGAAGACCAGTCTCTGACCCGACTCGGCCAGGGCCAGGGGGACGGCCAGACGTCGCCAAGGGCAGCGGTAAAGGACAGGGTGCGGGAAAGAAATGGGTGAGTGGTTTTTGCAAGCTACCTTTTTTCCTGGTTTAAAGAGATGGCAAAGAGAACACCTAGTGCCCTTTCTCCGTTTTGTTGTGGGAGAAGCTCCCTTTTGAGTCAACCGCAAAAAACAGAGGGCCTACACGAGAATGTGGCAGTCTCTCTGAATTTGGCACCCCCGAACATGGGCCTGGCAGTCCCTTTGATTTGCTATCCCAAAAGAACACACAACTAGCATCAGGGTTCTAAATAATCCCTTTTCGCTGGTTCCAAACACCCTTTGCTTGCCAATTCAAACAGAGGTTCCGAGTCTAAGGGCCAGTGGTGCCAGGATAGACTTACACATCAATCTTAGGCGACTTTTGAAGAGAGGCCACCCTCCCAAAATATGGAACCTGAAGGGGAGGAGTTGTGGAGGAAACCTTCTTTCCGTGTTGTTGGAAGGGTACTTTTGGTGGTAATAGTTCGGTTTCATACCGGATCTCAGTCAACCATTTGTTGTAAGATGTTTTTGGGCATGTGAGAAAAGTAAAGCGACACCCCACATTGCATAGAATTATATTGGTCAATGAAGACCGCTCAAGAAGGCGCACCAGGAACAGCTGCAAGAAGGGATTCAGATCGCTTGCCAGGAAAGCCCAAGAACTTCTGGCCGTGGGCGCCTACGGGAGCTCCGCGGATTCAGCAATGGAGAACCCAGCTCGAGTGACTCGAGCCGAAGCTCTTCCCGAGCTTTGGGCCGTTTTGCCCAAACATGGTTTGCCGCTTTTCCACGGTGTGGGATAAATCAGAGCCCCTGGTTAGAAGCCCTTTTCAAGGTAGGCGGTTGGGCTAAATCAGCATCAATTCTGTTCCTTTTTCGGAACCGGCAAAGCCTGCGCAGGATCTCTCAGCGAAAATCGCGAAAATCCATGGCCCGGGTCCAATAGTCTGAGGCGCCAGTCCCAGGTCGCGAGAGTCAAATGCGAGGCCTGGACATGGCGCCCGATCTTCCGTACCCGACATTCTGGGGATTGACGCCCCGCTCTGCTAAAAACAAGCATGCGAAAAGCAACTGGCCATGGGTCAAAATCCAAATCGTACCTCCAGTGCACATCCGATTCAATCCAACCACTAAAATAGGTTCTAAAATGGGGTGGTAAATTCACCTACCCCAAAATGGGATCCCATTGGTTTTGACCCACAGCCAACTGTCAACGATCATTGTGTCTCCCATGTGCCTAAAGCGATCGGCACAGGCTCGCGTAGGGCTTGGGATAGCCTCCGAGTTCTACATTCAGGAGGGTTCCCGCAGTTCGAAGGGTGTCTTTTGAGGCATCAAAGTAGTTCTGGTGGTGGTATGATGATTATGGGTGATGTGCGGTGCTTTGCGATGTTGGTCTTGTAGCTCAGCTCCAGCATGTCTCTTTGGATGCATTTTTGTTTTGGATGCCCCTTGAGACGCACCTTCGTTTCGACAGAAAAAAGAGGCGCGAAGGAAATCGGCGCTTTTGTGATTGACACGCCACTCGTCAGAGGACTCAGCGCTCCCCCTCCCGAACCCGGCTGCCGCAAAAAACACATAGGGGAGGTAGGGGAGGGATGTCGAATCCGATATGATCTCTCCTTTGTTTTTTGTTCCTGGAGTCCGCCATTGGAAGCTTCTTCAGGTTGGTTTCTGTTGGGCTCCCTCCACAACCATCTGAAGAGAGTAGTGTCACATGTTTCAACCAGATGTTCGAAGCTCAGTCGTTGTTGTTGTTGTTGTTGTTGTTGTTGTTGTTGTTGTTGTTGTTGTTGTTGTCGTTGTCGTTGTCGTTGTCGTTGTCGTTGTCGTTGTCGTTGTCGTTGTCGTTGTCGTTGTCGTTGTCGTTGTCGTTGTCGTTGTCGTTGTCGTTGTCGTTGTCGTTGTCGTTGTCGTTGTCGTTGTCGTGTCGTTGTCGTGTTGTTGTTGTTGTTGTTGTTGTTGTTGTTGTTGTTGTTGTTGTTGTTGTTGTTGTTGTTGTTGTTGTTGTTGTTGTTGTTGTTGTTGTTGTTGTTGTTGTTGTTGTTGTTGTTGTTGTTGTTGTTGTTGTTGTTGTTGTTGTTGTTGTTGTTGTTGTTGTTGTTGTTGTTGTTGTTGTTGTTGTTGTTGTTGTTGTTGTTGTTGTTGTTGTTGTTGTTGTTGTTGTTGTTGTTGTTGTTGTTGTTGTTGTTGTTGTTGTTGTTGTTGTTGTTGTTGTTGTTGTTGTTGTTGTTGTTGTTGTTGTTGTTGTTGTTGTTGTTGTTGTTGTTGTTGTTGTTGTTGTTGTTGTTGTTGTTGTTGTTGTTGTTGTTGTTGTTGTTGTTGTTGTTGTTGTTGTTGTTGTTGTTGTTGTTGTTGTTGTTGTTGTTGTTGTTGTTGTTGTTGTTGTTGTTGTTGTTGTTGTTGTTGTTGTTGTTGTTGTTGTTGTTGTTGTTGTTGTTGTTGTTGTTGTTGTTGTTGTTGTTGTTGTTGTTGTTGTTGTTGTTGTTGTTGTTGTTGTTGTTGTTGTTGTTGTTGTTGTTGTTGTTGTTGTTGTTGTTGTTGTCTGTGTTGGCGTTGTTGTTGTTGTTGTTGTTGGTGTTGTTGTTGTTGGTGTTGGTGTTGGTGTTGGTGTTGGTGTTGCTGTTGCTGTTGGTGTTGGTGTTGGTGTTGGTGTTGGTGTTGTTGGTGTTGGTGTTGGTGTTGGTGTTGTTGGTGGTGGTGTTGTTGTTGTTGGTGTTGCTGGTGTTGGTGTTGGTGTTGGTGTTGGAGTTGATGTTGTTGTTGTTGGTGTTGCTGGTGTTGGTGTTGGTGTTGGTGTTGGCGTTGGTGTTGGTGTTGGTGTTGTTGTTGTTCCTGCAAAGGTGAGGTGCGTACCTTGAACAAAGGTGAAATATGGATATGTACGTGTGTTGATTCAATGGTTGCTTTAAAGGGAAGACGGAACACAGGCTGGCGCCCATGTTGGGTGTCCACTACTTCGACACAAACAAACTTCGTGTCAAACCCAACTTGTCTTTGGCAGGCCAGATCCCAGTCCCAGCATGACAAGATATTGAGTGCTGTCAGGCAAGTCGCACCGTTTACCCTTTTTTGCTCTTTTGGGACTTATTCATTTCCCGTTTGCCAGCAACACCCACAACTCAATAAATGTAGTGGGTTTAAGTCTGGCCAAGTTTTGCATGGTATGGAACCCATTTTTGCCAGACCATCAATCACGGCAAATCGAGGGATTTGGTTCGGGAACGCGGTGCCCAGAGCATGTTGCCATCTTGAGTTGGTGAACTACCCATGTTGCTCACTGGGATCCGGGGCTTTGTGCCTAAAGACTTGCGATTTACGACTGAGGAGCACGAGAAGGGGGACCCACCCAATGCTTCCACCAAATCGAGGGGCGCCCGAATTTCCCATGTCCTCCTTGGCAAACACTTTGTCCGGGGCTCACATAGATCCCTGGAAACTGGGTCTCGACGCTCAAGCCCGTTGCCCTTCCCAGCTCTTTCTCTGGGGCGGAAAAAGCCGAAGGGCATTTGTTTCTGCAACAGAATGAGCCTGAGATAAGTGCAACAGCCGCTGCCATTGACAGACACATACATATATATATATATATATATGTATGCACATACAGGGTTGCGATAGTCCCCAAAGATGTTTCTGAGAACTCTCAAACCTACCTCGTGAACATACCCGGATTCCCTATGAAAGGAATCCTTATCATGCAGGTTGGGGTACGCTCAAAGAATATGGAGAGTTCCTGAGAAATGCCATGCCAGACCCTTGGGCTGATCATAGAGGTCTCACTGGGGCAGCCAGTGTAGGGCGCAATTTCTCACTTCCCACTGGCCATGGAAAAATACAAGGATGCCCTCCCTGCGCTGGTGGAATTTTACGCAACCAGCTCCCGCCCCCGAAGAAGAATCAATGGACAGCACGAAAACGGTTCCGGTTTTCTTTAGGCAGGCCAAGCTGGCACAGAACGCAAGGAGATAAGACTAGGTTTTGCGTGATGTTGACCCATGCCACCCAATCTTTAATCAGGTGGCCCCTGTTGAGAGCGGAATCCTTTCTTCCGGAAGGACTGGCTCGACTGGCTCGGCTGACTGTGGCTCAATTGGATCCAAAGAACCGACCCCCAAAGCAAAGGGTTCCTAGCACAACACATGTAACACATGCTACAATCTATCTGGGTGAATTATAATGACCTCACACGACCTCACACGACCTCACCCGAAATGGTGATTTGTGTGGGGAATATCCCCCCCAACCACCTTATTTAAGGTTGGTGAAATATTATAATTCACCCAGATCTATGCGAATTTGGAATGGCGGGTTCTTCCTCATCACCTGGCAAAACAAGAGGGACCCCCTAAAACAGGGGGCCTTTGTTTGGGTTGAACTTAGTTCCCTTTAGGCACCGTCCACAATGTCGGGTGTGGCTGAAAATCGAGAGCCCCTTGGATGGTCTAAAGTGAAACCAAAACGAAGCCACCCATTTGACAGGTAACTGACATTTGGCCTGGATGGGGCCCTAATTGTCAAGAACCACCCCCCACACCTCACTCTCAAGAACCCAAGTCACTTCATAATGTTGACTCTTGCACATCAGGCAGTGCGCCAGAGCAGCGAGGCATGGCAGTACGTTGACAGGCGCCCCCGAGCAAGCTTTCTCGATTGCACTACTGCACTGTCCAGTGGCATGTTGTGCCCTTTTTCGGGGGAACCCCGTTTGTCTTGTTTGCACTTGTTCTGCCTTTTATGGCTCACCACGTGTGGCTGTGGCTCAAAAAACCGGTGCCAAAATGGGCTGCCCTGGCAAGTGGAAACATGGACCAAAGCCTGCGTAACCCCTCCTGTTCAATTTTGGGGTCAAAATTAAACCACCAGGGGACCGCAGGTTTTGGTCCATGTTTCCACTTGCCAGGGTTCCACAAATGGGTACATAGTTTTGACCCCAAGCCATATGATGGATTCTGAGGCCAACGGAGACCAGCCATGTTCGTCCGCTTCAGAAGTCCACGCGATGACGGAATGGAGGTGTTGACCACCTTTGCACAATCCGTCGCATACCGCGCGTGGGGAAAATGTGGCTTTTAGACCTCACTGATGAAGCTTTGGTTTGGGTTCCTTCGACCTACCACCGTTGAACATGAACGACCAATCCCATTGAACTGTTGGCAGATGGCGTGAGTACGGACGCCCGCCGTGGCAATTGAAGCTGACAGCTGCCTTTGGTTCTGTGACATTTGCATTGTGTCACGGGCAACACGGCGGTTTTGTGCCAACCGTTCGCTCTTCTTTGACATATGCACAAGTACTGAACAACATTTTTCGCCGGAGCTGGGCAGGCAATTGTAACATAGCGTCTTAATCATTACCCACGTTATTCTCTCAGCACTGTGACATGTCTATCACCATAGACCATAGCCCTCCGGGCAACTTGTACTCACTCAGTGTTTACCGCTTCTTGTGACTGATTCGAGCCGCTGCAGGCAATACCCATGGGTGCGTAGCTCGAATCGATCCGATAGCAGAAGCGCTCGCTAGGCACCTGCGCAGCGACGCGGACTTCGCGCTAGCTGCAGTGCAGCAAAATGAGCAGGCGCGATTGTTTCCTGGGTGAAAGTAGACACGTTGCCTCCCCATTTACCCATCCACGTTGCTATGGAACCAACCGACGGACCAGGAAAAAACTTTGCCACAACTCAGGCTTATGGATGGGAGGGTGGTTTTATTTGCCCAAAGGATAGCGACGGCCATCGAATGTGTCACCCTGGTGTTGACTTCGGATGAATCAACCTGGCGGATTGAGTTTTGGGGGTGTCAGAAGCTAAAAGTGCAGGATCGATCCCGTCTAGACGCACTAATTGAAATACACCAGGCGTGTCCATAGGAAAGCACAATAAACTTGGTATAGTCTTCCGGCTTCCGTTAGTTTGGGAAGGGGGGACACGCCCAATTTCCAAAGAGAACAAAGGGGATCGTTTAATGTGTTTACGTTCTTTTTGGGAACAAAGACCTTTGTCCCTGGGTCATATGATGGGCGCCTCTTTTTGTGAGGGCCTCTTTGGGGAAAACACATGACATATAACTTTGTTTTTCATGTTGTGGGTGGGGGAACCGGGAATA